GGCTTTCCTTATAATTTTAAGTACGGGAATTTTATTTATTTCTTTTTGTCCTTGCACGCAATTGCTTCCAGTTTTTAGAGAAGCCATTTTCGAACTTATCCTTTGTTCTATTTTCTATTTCATTGATAAAACTCTTACTGAAATTTTATTCCATCTTTGATGGGTCAGACTTATGCGAGACCGCACAAAATTCCAGGAAAGTGTTGATTTAAGTGAATCATACGTTAATTTCGGGTTTTCTGCTGCATATATACATCTTTATAAATGACAGCTATAAGTTGTCGTGATATAATCTTCGACAATGTCAGTATTCTTCCTGCCACGTACCAGATCCTGCCTGAGCCGTAAAAAAAATCATAATAGATAAAGCCTGCCACTTTTGTGTCCTCCTCCATGCCTTGTCTACCCTGCGGAAGTGACGTTACTCAAATCCCTATACTGAATCTGAATTTGATGTGGCTTTTATCTTGCTATGATAGATGCATTGTGCCAAGCTTCTGTCTCTGTGACCGGAAGTTTCCAAGCACTCAAATCTTCTGACTTCACGAGAGAAGAGATTTATTGGTCAAGAAGCAGATTTCATTATTCACCTATCACTCCTTGCTTAGATCCCTTGGTTGCCTGATATGACACTGCAGAGATTCTTACCCGCCACAAGCATTATTCTTTAGTCTCATTGAACTTTCATGAACTAACACGGTTCTCTACCATTGTCTCCGGCGAGATAAGTCCAGAAGGACCTGAACTTGTTAACCAAATCCATCATCTCTGCACGCCTTTCCAGTCCACTCAACCAATCGAAAATGCATGAGACAAAAAACAGTAATCTTCCTACAGGCGATGTGTTAATTCTGTTGGATATTTCCAAGGATTTAAGAGTAAAGACTAATGTACAAACAAAGACTTTCCAACTCATCTTTACTTCATTTTGATAAACCTTCCATCATGAGCGAGGAAAGTAAGCAGATGAACGCTAAAACGCTGTTTACAATATTCATGTTTATCTCAACCGTATTGTTTTCAGAGGAGGGAAAATAGAATGCGTCATGTTAACCGTAATAATATAAACCTAAAATTACGAAGATTATATACAAAAGGTACTGAATCTAAAAACACCTCACTATAGATTACAGCATAAACACTAATTTTGTTTTACACTGATGAATTATTCTCTAAGTCATTTAATATTCTAGCTGCCAAGTGATTCGTTTGGGACTTCTTCTAGTTTATTCTATCTTAGAAATAAAGAAGCACCGTCGAGACTCTGGTTTCAATGACACTGGAAAAAGAGTATATCAGATGTTTAAACCTTTATAAGTTCTGCTTAGATGATCTGACAGAAAGAGCTTAGTTCTAACCAATCTGTCACGCATAGAATTTCGTAGTTATTACCGCTACTGTGATACTAGTAGCGACAATCTAAATATGTCTCTATAAAAACAAATCATTATATGGAGTTTCACATTTCTTTCTCAATATTTTCAGTGCTTTCTCTTGTCTTTATCATAAAATTCTGACACATTTTAGCACTTGATTTGCTTTAAAACTTTACGTCAAATCTGTTGGATTGACGAGTACAAAATACTGTCGTTGTTTGTCGCCACAAGGCGGAACGTGTATTACACCCTATTTATGTAAGACGGTACTAACTGAGACTCTTTTTTTTTTCTCGTACATTTCAACACAGTTAAATGAAACTGTCTTGTTATGATTCTTATACTTCGGTATAATTAATTTCACTGACACATTGCATAATATATCGCAGAAATGGATTAAGTATTTTATTCGAAGGAAATAATGAATGAAGACTTTAACAGAAATAACTAACTGTTCGGTGTTCCTTTGTTATCAAGCATATTAGAATAATAAAATCTCCAGATGATGGGTGTTGTTTTTTCTTTAAAGGTTATCACAAATATTACAACGTTCAGTCTACAAGTCATTATGCATGAGAAGATCCGTAGATGGATTCCTCTCGGTAGACAGAGCGCAGATAGCCCCATTGTGCAGCTTCGCCCTAGAACAAACAAACAAATAAACATGGGAAGATATCACACATTATTTTCCGCGTCAGTAAGAACCAAGTAACAATGAAAGTAAAAAAAAAAAAATGCGCCATGTTTCTAGAAGAGCTTGACAACATCAGGTGATGAAAAGAACACGATCTGCATTTCTTAAAACATTATTCTGCTAGACTTGTGCTTATTTATTTAAATGCTAGCGCGAGGTACAACATTTCAAGTCTGTGGAAAGTTTAAAGTAGCTATTACATCATTACAGACACTCTATCTTGTTTTATTATGTAAAACTATTTGACTGAAAATGTCACCACAACAAAGTTTCATTAGTTTAAATTTTAAGATATTAGTTACTAAGTACGCCAGTAATTCAGCGCAGTGTTCCATGAAGCATGTAAGTATATTAGCCTGAACGTATGTTGAAATTTATTCGATATGAATATGAGATACTGTACCTCTTTATATTCTTATTCGCTTTTAACGTAATTCTAAGAAAACATAAATGTGTTAACTGTAAACACAAATCTGACTGTGAATTGTTTCTGTCTGTTAATATCTAAATATTCCTGAATATATATATATATATATTACATGTTTTCACAATTGTCAATAGCCACAAAGGTTTGAGTACGTTATATTAAAACGATTTTAAATTTATAAATCACTAAATCGTGTGAAAACCACAGCCAATATAAAGTTGCGGTGGAATGATACGTAATAAAACTATATTTTGACCATATTTAGCATTACATGGGTAATGTGATGCTACCGAAAACTTATCGCTTTTGGGAAGGTTATATATCACACCTTTTCGACGCAAAATATTCACACATTCAGATTATAAAGGTGTGTTTATATCGATGATTTAGAATTTCTAAGATGTGGAAATCCTTTTACTTAATACTTATTGGCATTGGAAAATCAAATGAATATGGATCAACTTGAGATACCAGGACTATCCAAGATGGAACCTGCAACAAGTTGTACACCAGCCAATGTAAATAAAATGCGGCGTCTTGTAACAAGTGAAAATCCACGAATCCAAAGGTCAGTTGCAAAAGCGGGTTGTACACGTGCCCCAGGCAATATTATGTAATATAATCAAGTGTGTGTCTGGTAACGAAACCGCTAGGGTATGAGTTCACCAAGATAAGGGTTTCAGTCATATTTGCCCCCCAGTAACACAACGGTATGTCTGCGGACTTACAACGCTAGAATACGGGTTTCGATACCCGTGGTGAGCAGAGCACAGATAGCCCATTGTGTAGCTTTGTACTTAATTACAAACAAACAGTCATATCTCCCGTCCATCTATCACATACCTCAAGTAGCTGGAGAATGAAACAGATATCCATGCTATTCTGTATCGAACTGTTGAGACATGCACTGGGAAACCGTCTATCTCGTATACTAAATAGATTATGGAAAGCTCCCGAAAGTAGTGATGTGCTTTGGACATGACAGTCTTATAACATATCCTTTTCCAGTGAAACCTACGCTGCAAAGCTATTGTTAGGATGCACGATCATCAAATAGAGCATAAAAGACGTGGTGACATGAACTGTAATGAGGTGATGAGACTTCAAAAATCGTTTTAACTTAACGCACTCAACCCCCCCCCCTTTATATATAGTAGTCATGATTATTATTATTAATCATTTTATCCAATACCCAGAAGATTGTGATTAGAGCTATGATTGGCCAAATGCTAAAGGTTTCATTCAGTGGTACACGCTAAGGTGATCCTATCAGTGCAGGTTGAACCATAGTGAACTCCCACTAAAGAAACTGAGGATAGTAAATATTTTTTATTTCATAAGACATTGATAACTGTTGTGGACACTTTGAACATTTGTTATGTTCGATTGTTTCAATGAGCATGTAAATACACCCTGTTATTTTATGTTACTTTGATTTCTTTGCCTTTAGTACGTTGTTCACTATGTTACACACTATATTTTGAAACGAAATGTTTTAGCTTAGACTTACCCAAGTTTAAACTAAATAATTCTAACATTATGCTGTTTAAGACACAATTGGTATTCCTGTTTGTCAGTACCAATGCTATATAGATATTAAGTATAACTAGAAATGTCATTAATATTCAAAATGAACTATATTGAAGGTAATAAAACACATTAAACCCTGATATAAAAAACACATGAATTATATAAGCATCAAACCTAACATAAAAAAGAGCATTGTGCTCTTATGAAACATAATTAACTTGAAACCATGTTTGGATAATCTAAAACGTTTCGTTCTGTTACTATGAAACCGCTACATAATCACTCAGTTGATCTGCTGAAATCTTTGATGTAAATTATTCTAAAGAGAAAACAAAATGAACATGACTATCTTCAATTTTCAGTAAGAAGGAAACGTTCTTGATTTTAAATTGATCCGTGTCATTCACTCTAGTGAGTGGATGTTTAAAGTAAATATCAATTCTCTGATCGCTTCGTTTTCATCACGAAAGTTCGATTAGTTTCAGTTTCAAATCATATTCTACATCATGGTTTTGGCAAAGAGATTTTAACGTTTGTAAATATTCCATTTTAAAGACCAAGGACAAAGTTAATATACGATGAAATAGACATACTTTAGTTGAAGATTACGTATGCTGGTCGGTGCAGAAACTGTCTCACGTTTCCACTGAAAGTCCACAGAGAAAGTTTATATAAATTTATGTGAGTAAAGTTTCAACATTGCGTGACGACAGGAGTGAATAAATCCAATTAAAACATCTCTTCTGAAATTATATTTTCTCTAATAAGCAAACGCTCGAGTACGTGTGTGAATAAGAATGATATTCAGATTTCGTTGTTTCAAATAGCATAAATTACGGTTATTACGTAAACAAAAAACACCGGAGTTGTTAGCATTATGTTTAGATAAACACCGACAGAAACAAAACATATTCATTAGGCACTTTGCAAACGATTATTATTACTGTCATATCACATTTCTGATGTTCATTAGGAGATGGAAATAAAGGAGGAGAATAAACTTCCTAATGCCGGGATCCCAGAGTGCGCTGGTTGTCAGAAAGTTATTAGAGAACGATATCTGCTAAAAGCGTTGGATCAGTTCTGGCACGAGGATTGTCTCAAGTGCACCTGCTGTGACTGTAGACTTGGAGAGGTGGGCTCCACCCTCTTCACCAAGGCCAATCTCATCCTCTGTAAGAGAGACTATCTCAGGTGAGTGCCTAGAAAAGAATATTTAGCTAAATAATATAATTTCTTCTCTTGTATCTAGCTTTCATTGTCTTTACTCGTTAACTATCGAAATGCCTTAAATAATATAGACAACTTATCTTGTGGAATATATTCTTCGAATGATTCAAATACTTTTGAAAATTTCACTACCATTTGTGTATTAAATGTTATGCGTGCTGCTATTGTTTATTTGAAATGGACCTTAAATTAAATTAATGTATACCATGCGTATAGTATAATATGTTATGAATAATACGATGAAGTTTATTCAGAGGGAAAAAAAGATTGTCCTGTGTATTAGAATAAACTGCATTTATAATTTTAAAAAATAGTAATAATTTCAGCATGAAAGTGGAAAACCTCGATTTATGATTAATATTCTCTACATTATGTCAGTTCATAATTGGACATCATAAACATGAATGTCTGAAATATTCTCAAGATCTTCGTGTTGCTATTAGATACGAACCAGCAGCTCAAAAACAAAATAATAATAATAACAAAAATCGTAGATTCATAAAAAAAAAATTTCGAGTTTGGGTTATAGTTATTTGAGATAAGTAACTCTTAATATGTGCTTGATACACTTGGAATAACAATAAAACAAATTCTCAGGATCTGCATAACTTTAGAAATAAGTTAGTGAAAATACAACAACGAAATAAAAGGAATGGTTTTTATTAGAATATTCTTCCTTTAATTAATACGTGAGTTTCTGATTAAGTGTTATATAAACTTCATTTAATGAGTCATTAAATAATTGTGGATGAGTGCTTACGTTACGTCGTTATTGAAACTTCATGCCCTATAGGAGCGTGGATAAAGCACTTATTGATCAATACCAACGGTTAAAAACTTGCTAATAACTTTGGATGAGTGCTTACGTTACGTCGTTATTGAAACTTCATTCCCTATAGGATCGTGGATAAAGCACTTATTTATCAATACCTACGGTTAAAAACTTGCTAATAATTGTGGATGAGTGCTTACGTTACGTCGTTGTTAGAACTTCATTAAACTACCACATTTTAACTAGATCAAGTGCTAGCACATGTTTTTTTTTACAGTTAGTGAAAATGGACAGTTGTTCAACAGTTAGTTTTCAACACTTTTATTCAAGAAATAAAGTACTATCATAAAAACGTTGAGCCACTTTATCCAAAAGTCTACACTAGAGCACAAAAATACAAAGATACAAAATCCTATAACACGAGTGCTTTCGAAAGTTGCACATTTCTTTTTTTAGGGGCAAACTGGGAATCAGAAGAAAGATCCACTTTTGGAAAGCGTTCGGGTTATAGAGTTTCGTATTTTTGTGTTAAATTGATTTATTGAACTTACGTGTTTTTCTAACATCATGAATGAAACACAAAAATTAATACTTAAGGAGATATTGCGTTTTGAAAATCTTCCCCAATTTTTTACGATATTCTTTTTATTCAGCCCTTTCATAGAGGATGGGGGGGGGAGATCACTTGTCAAAGTGTAATTCCAAAATATAACGTGAACAACCAACCACCTAGTCCATCAAAAGTATTAAGACTTTCCTGCCAAACACTTCCACAGACGTCCTACAAAAATATGGCATTTTTATGACATTGTATTTAAACAAAAACAAAATATTTCAGCTTTAATAAACAGTACATGATCACTTAATGAAAGAGTCGCCACTACAGAAAAACAAAATAACCATATGATCTGGAAACTCGCCACCACAATCCTAGAGGTAGTCAAATCGTCATCAGAGAACCGCACCACACATAATTTCCGAGAAATGGTAAAGCAAACACCTCAAAAGAAAACAGATAACCTTCCAACAACCCAGCATGATGACTTTTTTAGTACAGGGTAAACAGGAATTCTCAACCCTAAAATAAAACATCCCATAAAGTATGAAGTTATCAAAAAAATAAAAATAAATAAAACATTATATGAGGTGTGAAGTCTTCCAAAAGTGATCGTAGGTTACAGAGTACTTTTATTGACACGTGTGCGTCGTGTACAAAAAAATAATAAAGAAAATTGTGATTTACATCGAAACGTTCAAGCGCGATGTTGTGTATTTACTACACTTTCCCGGCACACACCGAATCACGTTAAGTGAACCCTCCATAAAAGATTCGGCAATAGTCTTGCTGCTAATTATGGGCTTAGAAGCTTTATAGAGTATCACGACTTTCTCAAAATTAAACTTTTAGACATTCATTCCTTTGGAAATTGTTTAAGATAATAATACACAGCTTTAGTGTATTGACCAACATTACTTTATTGTTACATATGATTAATACTAGCTATATAACAGCTCCGTGTATGATATAATATTATCATTAATTAAGATATATTAGTGTTTGCTGGTTCCTTAATTTGTCATATTTACGATTGTTGTAACTTTCCTTTATAAGTCTTATTATTATTATCGTGTTTATTTTTCGAATTTTACAAAAGATTTAACTTTGTTTATTACTTCCTGCTGTATGTGTTTAGTTACGTGACAGAGGCTAGGTAATGTGGGAATTGTTGTGCTAGACACACATCTCATAGTTTAACACATTATTTTATTTGTATTACATTTAACAGTTATATTTGACTTAGAGAGCCAATATTTTAGATATGTATTCTATGTTAGATATTCATTTAATTTCGTGGTTATTATTTTATATCTTCATAAACATTAATTTTTGGCTGTACTCTCGATAATATTTTATTGCTTGACTCCATACCTAAACGGTAACACAAGTCTTATAAATTTATCTGAAATGTCAGGCTCCTCTGACGTTACGCTGTCTGAGCTGTTTAATGGGTTTCATTGGTCAAAAAAGTTTTTTTAGAGGGGGGAGGGGGAGATTGTGGAAGTTTCTACTTATACAC